ATTAGTGTATGGACATTACTTATTAAATATTAGTGTAAATTTTAGTAAACTGTTTATATATAATAATGTTCATACACTAATGTCGATTTGAAAATAGTTACTAACTGTCACTAGAAAATTGCCATGGCGATACCAACCATCTTGATCTTGTCATTTTATTTAAAAATCGCTTTTATTCAAAATCTGAGATAGATAGGTATAGGAAACCAATATAGTTTGAAAGAGCATTTGAATCTGCTTCGATTTATTTAAAAAATACAGGGCGTTGCATTTGAAATAACAAAGTTTGTATGTAAAATAAATCTTTAAAATAGATCACCAATTTTTGGTACCCCTGTATAAATTTTTAAAAAATATTTGGCCAATAATATTTTTCTTTTAAAGTTTATTTCTTTACCTTTTAACTCAGCACAAGAATTCTAAATCGTTGATTTAAATGGTTGCACTCTGGATGGGGAGCATAGTTTACATTAGTTCCAATCTTATGCTGGTCCAGACCAAGGCGACAAAAGTAAACACGATTTTTGAGACAAAATAAATAAACTTGTCACAAAAAATGGAGACTTCTGACAAGACAAATTGTCCACACCGCAATGACAAAAGTACAACAAAGTCAAAGTTTAATTGTTGCGAATGAGTTTTATTAACCATGTGTGATTTGACTGGTCTCCTACTGTTGGCAGCACATGCCATCCACACTGCGCCGACAACTTGTCGCAAAAATATACGAACAAAACATAGACACTTTGATCTTTACCGATTCGAGACGGGACATTGAAAAGTCTTCAAATTTTGAAACAAAACAAAAATGAGACAAAAATGTTGCAGAAATGTATTGGATTTGTTACAACTTTGTCGTAAAACATGAATGTTTCTGTCTTGTCACTGTTTTGTCTGCTTGGTCTGGACCCGGCATTACTTTACTAGTTACTTATAATCCAGGGCTGCAGTGACAGTCGCTCTGCTGTTTCAGGATTCTTATCGCAGTCTAAAAAATGTCAAGACCAGTTTTAACTTGTATTGAGTGACATGTAACTTTGTATTTTATTTATATACTAGCGTGTACCAGCGACTTCGTTCGCGTCGAATTAATCATTTGTAATGGTGATGATAAAGCAAAGCAAGAATTTCCATTAACATACAAACTGGATAAAATTTTCAAATTTATGTCAGTATGAGAAAAAAACAATATGGCGATATTATTATATAACTTGGTAATATTTGAGGGGTAGTTTCATCTCGTTAGAATTTGACTTCGGAAAATCCGTTTGCCAAAAAATAAGCTTTTTACGTCAAGCAGTTTAAGCTGAATCGTGGTTAAGAAATTACCTAACCTTTTGGAACACCCTGTATGATTTTTAAAAATTCAAATATGTAAAAACCAAATAAATTATGCTTTTCCAAGTTAAGCCTGAAAGACTAACTGTTTTTAAATAACAAATATTGTAATATTTGGAGGGGCAAGCTTTTCATCTCTTTGGAATTTGAGATTCGAGAAACCCCTCCTTATCGAACCTCTACACCCCACAGTCAATCCGTTTACCAAAAATCAGCTTTAAACGTCGTTGTAGCTTAAGCAGAATCGTGATTACTCAATGGTCATATTTTATGAACACCCTGTGGCTAAATTTATAAAAAATCTTAGAATATGTAAACAACAAAATAAAATATACGTGTTTAAGAGTTTTTCCGAAACTCACTGGTTTTTAAATAAAAAATATTTTTAATATTTGAGGGATAGTTTCACTCCTAGAATTCGAGTTTCGAAAATCCCTTCTTATCGAACCCTACACCCTAAAGTCAATCTGTTTTCCAAAATCAGCTTCTTACGTCAAGAGCTTTAAGCAGGATCATGATTAATCAATGACCAGATTTTTCGAAATACCCTTTATACATTTTTTAAAAATCTTAAATATGTAAAAAACAAATGAAATATACGTGTTTGAGCGTTTTTTCGGAAACTTGACCGTTTTTTAAATAAAAATATTGTAATATTTGAGGGATGGTTTTCACCTCTCTTGAACTGGAATTTCGAGAAATCCCTTCTTATTGAACCTCTATACACCCTAGAATCAACCTGTATGCCAAAAATTGAGCTTCTTACGTTGAGTGGTTTGAGCAGGATCGTGATTAATCGCATCAGTATGTCAGTCACTTAAGGATTTTATATATTAGCATAGTATAAGGAAACTAGTAGCTTTACTCCTTGTCAAACTTTGTTCTTTTTCTTGCCACTTTATATGACCTTTGTTCTCGCCTCCCGTGACCACTGACGTAGCTGTATAGTCGTGGTATATTAACTAGGCAAGTATAGTCGTTGCATAGTTCACACAGAACGTAGTTTCACAGATATGTATTTAGGAAAATATGAGTTCATAATAAAATAAAATAAAAAAAATTGATCATCGAGTAAAAACTTGCTTGAAAACAGAATATTAGTAATAATTCTTCTGTATCTGAAAATCTTCTGATGGGAAGGAATGCGGAAAAGTATATAATGACATATTTTTATATTATTATCTATTTCAGAGATTTTCTACAACTTTTTTTTGATTTAAAACAAGTTTAATTTTCTGTAGATAACTGGATTCGGCATGAAATTCTGCTATAGTATACTGTTTTTATTTAAAGCACACTGCGGTGTTGCCATTCTATTTCTTATTTACTAAAACTTTGGTTAAAAACATTATATACGAAAAGTGGTAAAAAACTAGAGTGAATATAACTTTATATAATACTTAGCTATGTTTTCTTAAACATGAAGGATACCAGAATAAATTCGTGTAGAAAAATTTACTTTATCATATACAGGGTATTTTTTATGGCGTCACCAAAATTGTAATATTTAAAATGTTTTATCTCATTTTTTTTTAAATGCAACACCTTGTAAATTATTTTTCTTTCAGATGTAGAATTAAAAGTTGAACATTTTTTGTATTTAAAGTGTTCTTAAATTTTTAGACGTTTTGTAAATATTTTCTGTATTTCATTACATATTATGGGATTTTCAACGATAAAATATTAGACAAAGATCATATTAGGTGGCTTTGAAAAAAAAATTTACTGTTGAAAGAGTTATATGTAATATAATACTGTGAATATCTGCGAAACCGTTAAAAATTTAGAAACATTTTAAATAAAAAAAATGTTCACTTTTTAATTCTACATCTGACAGAAAAATAATATACAGAATGTTGCATTTAAAAAAAATTGAGATATATTATTTTAAATATTCCGATTTTGGTGACGCCATAAAAAATACCCTATATAGAATAATGTAAATTTTTCTACGCGGATTTGTTATCCTTGTTTAGGATTTTCTATTTTCTTTTTTAACACTTGGCTATAATAAAGCCAATTGTTAATGAAGTTATATTCACTCTAGTTTTTTACAACTTTTCGAATATAATGTTTTTAACCAAAGTTTTAGTAAATAAGTCATAGAATGGCAACATTGTAGAATGATTCAAATAAATATAGTGTACTATATGCAGAATTTTATGCTGAATCCGATTATCTACAGAAAAATGGGAGGGGGTGCAGTTGGTTAGGCAATTTAAAAAGAAATAAAACTAACTTTACCATAACCTTTTTTGTGACACCTTGTATATAACAAAATATTTTAGGATACGTCTCTTTATAAACCTTGAAACATATTAATAAAACTTTTTTCACATCTTCGACAACGACGACGATATTGGACTTCCTCGCACTAATGGGCCACCCTGTATATTTACGGTGGTTTAAAGCTAGTGTAGGTAAATTCCTTTTTTCTTCCCTCAAATACAAAACTCAATATTTTGTCTATAATATTTTTGAATATTGTTATATTACGACCACTTACAATAAAAAAATAAATAAAAAAAAACATAAAAAATACAGTCCACTAAATTTATAAGAGATTATAAAATTCTTTCAATTAAAAAATATGAATAATTTGCGGAGACTTTAGATGTACAAAATATTTACTCTAAAATTGTTTCAAAAACCAATCTATATAAATTATCTCGTAAATTATTATTGGAATGAAAATTTTATGACAAATCCCCTGATCAAAAAATATTTTTATGCGCATATTTGAGACAACCTGTATATCTAAAAAACTATTTTTAAAATCTGCCCACATGCTAAAAAAAATAATAACATTGAATTAATTACATAATATCTCAGCTTCTAAAATAAACAAATATAATTAAATGTTTATTTATATGTAATTACTATCAGCTTGCCGATTTACATCCGATGGAAATCTAAAAAAAACTCCAAGAACAATTTTTTGAATTATTACTACAATTAATAGCAGCACACAGCAAGGCACTCATTTTTTGTCAATCCGTCTCTGTGCTGGGACGGAAGGCTCGAACCTCGCAGCTCGACGGACGGAATTCAACTGAAACGCTTTGCAATCTGCCGATATTCGACAGATTGCAAAAACTGGCAGAAAATATTTGCGAGAGTGCAACTACTCTTTTCCTTAAACTATGATATTAGTATAGATTACATTATTTTTTGAGTTATGTTTTGTTATTGAACAACTATAAATGGTGGATTTATATTTTATAAATATGACATTTGGCCAAACTGATGAAGACTCGATTGTTGTCGAAATGTTTTTGTAACTAAAAATAATTTGGAAAAATATAATATGACATAAATATAATGTATATTATTTAAACTGAACTGCATACCCAAGAATCTCTGCATAATTTAAAAAATGTCAAGTATAAAACCCGCGGATTTCATTTTAAAACTGAATTTCAAAGTAGCTTTTTTTCTAGATAACTAAATTTCGAATCACTATTTGATTAGAAACAACAATTAAAATAAAGTAGTGATTTAATTATTGACCAATCATAAAAAGTAGAATTTGATAAGACAAGAATTATTACTTGAGGGAGAAGCGCGTGTGGTATGCGCTGTAATGTTATGACAAAACAGCTTGTTGTTAGCGTGTGTTATATAAATAAATTTCGATTAGATCGTCTAGTTCAGTTGCCGGCTAGGCGTGTTGCGGTGGAGGTCGTTTTGTTGTTTTAATTTCAACATCATGATCGTCGAATAGAGAGTGCGTGGTGTATTTATAAATGAACGCAAGTACCTAACTTAACTTTAATTGATAGTCCAGACTTTAAAATTGTGATACTTATTTTCATAATACTTAAATTTAGTGTGTTAATATTTAAAGGTAAGATTTACTATTTGAATAACGGGATTATCTCTGACTTCGTTCAGGTAGAATACCTGTAAATAATGATATGTCTCCCAGTGTGTGGAGGTCACACAAAAAATACAAAATAAAAAAATATAAAAGATTATCCCATAGATTATCCTATTATAAGTGTATAAGTTCTGTGTGATCCAGGCACCTCGGCAATGAAGCAATTGAAGTTATTGATGGGGATATTAATATATTCTACAACTAATTATTATTGTTTTAACATTTAAGTACGGATAATAAATGTTTGAGATGATTTCACAATTGATAATTAAAATTATTTAATTTTTGAGGAAATATGAGGTTAGAATTTCGAATGTATCTTCCATTATTAAATTTGGCTAGTTCTGACCATAGAATGAAGATAGATTCCGGTTTATTGGTCTTTTGCTCGCGTCTGCGCATATCGATGGCGGTAAATAATAAAATTTTGAAAATGGTGTGTCTGACATGAATCAAATAAATAAATCAATTAGATATTTTGTTTATTATACCTTCCTATTAATTTTGATAAATAGCAGTAGCGATATTAAGAATTTTTTTAACCTAAATCGCCTATTAACAAAACACGATATCCATAGAAGCCTTGTATATATACATATATTATCCAGGGTGAGTCTTAAATAAGTGCAAATATTTTCAGGTGGTGTATTTTCACCCCAGGAACACGTCATGAGTTTTTTTTCGCTAAAAAAACATGTTGAAAATCATGCATTTTCTTTAAATTTCCCTGTATATTTTCGTAAACTTTTAAACTGCCTGTTCACCGCAAATTATTTAATTCCTTAATCTGGTAATTTCTTAACCGGTATAATTCCTTAATCTCAGATATTACCATAGAAGCCATGGCTTACTAAATTATGCCAGCAATAAAGGGATGCAAATACAGAACAAATCCGGTGGCTCTCAAAATTTTTCAAAAAAAAATCTTTTTTTTTTAATTTTCAAACTTAAATAACCACTTATTTAAAAAAAAAAAAAAATGGTAAAGAGAAAATATGCACCCTTTATCGAGATCTACCAGCCCTGGAAAAATATTGCAGTTATTTATTTTTTTTTTTTTTTTTGTTTATACAAAAAATCATAAAAATTGTTTGAAATGCATCATTTTCTTTTATCCGACTTTAGAATAACTGAAATCAGTTACATGAAAACATATTCCTGCTTTACATTCTAGACAAGTATTTCAATTAAAAGTTTTATTCATTTTTAAAACGATATATTTTTAAAGTTTTTTTTTTTTTTTTTGAAAAACTAAAATCAATTGAGGCTTCGGGCAAAATCCTCTTTCTCTTTCTCTCTCTTTCTCAGCCTGGTTCCAACCAGTGTTGGATATAGGCACCTTCTAGGTTTTTCCATGCTTCGCGATCTCTAGTTAATCTTATCCATTGTCTTCCCCCCACTGCCCTGACGTCATCGACCCATCTCTTTGGTCGGCCCACACTTCATGTTGTTCCCCTAGGTCCCCATAAGATTATTTTTTGGGGCCATCGGTCTGGATCCTGTCTTGCCACATGTCCTATCCATTGCCACTACAGACTTGCCACTCTTTTAACGACATCTATTAATTGCTTTTGACGTACGTGGGTATTCCGTATTTTTTCCCTAATGGTGACTCCCAACATGACTCTTTCCATGACTCTTTGTGCAACTCGTAGTTGTTCTGCTGTTTTTCGAGTAATTGCCATAGTCTCTAAGCCATACCTAAGCACAGGTAGAATGCAGCTGTCGTCAAGCCTTTTTCTTTAGGTTCATGGGCACCTTTTATCCTTGAAAAAAGACGCTCATATTTCCAATGCTACCCATGCCAAATGGATCCTGCGTTTGATCTCCGAAATACAGCAAACCATTAGTCAAAAAAAAAATAGGTAAATGGTTAATGAATGCTATCCGACAGTAATTTGTTAGTCACAACGTTCCTACCAAACGAATTCTGGAAAAGTGCTATAAGTCAGCCCGTGCATATATGATCAAAAATACCGTAATTCCGCAAGAACCCCACAAGTCACAAGTCTTAACGGTAAGTAGTTTGGTTGTTTGTCGTTCGTAATCGTTCGAATAGTTGCTAAGAGGAATTGGTTATTTCCACGGTTTTTGCCAAATTTCCAGCAAAAACCCCACATGTCAAAAAATATAAAAAAAAAAAAAAAAATTAAAATAACAAAAAAATAAGGAAAAACTAGTTTTCTGTAATTTCAGATTATAACCAGAGCTCACACAAAAAAACGACAATTTAAATTCTTAAATGGGAGCAAATATACGTTTTTTTTCCAAATTTCGAAATATCTGACTAATGGGGTTTTTACCAGAAACCCCTCAATTACTAAATACATGTTTCTGTTTTATATCCTAAAATTTCTTCTAAATATAAATAAGCACAAAATTCCTTGCGGAAATTCATCGTTTTAATTTTTCAATTCAAAAGATTATCTCAAATAAATTTTAAGAAATATTAATAAAATGTATAGAATTACAAATGGAAATGTTGAAGCCAACGCAATCAAATTCGTATTAAAATTAAGAAACAAAAACAGAATTACAACAAAAAGGTTTAAACAAAAGCAATCTAATTTGTATTAAATAAAAAATTCACAGATTTTGGCAACATGCGCAACCATCATGGGCGTATTGAAAATACCAGACAAAAAAGTCGGCGGTGGTCGGCAATCATCTGTCTTTTACATTTTATATTAATCTGTGACGTCATTTGGAAGAGCTCAATAGAAATATGAAAGAACCAAACCTTGTTTGGTGCCAATTTGACATTCGTGACGTCAGTATTCTGGCAGTCTAACGTAGCGCTAATTGCCATTCGCAAATACTTGGGTCGGCATTACTGGTCTTGGGTGCCGATTTTCGTGTGTACGAAACGTAAAATAAGATGTACTGAATAAAGACAGAAGGCAAGTATTTTTCCAAGCGCATGGATCTAGCGTCAGATTAAAGTGATTATATTACACATATTTCGTATTTTGGCTCTCTCCGACTTAGTAGATTAGCGATTCACTGCTATACATGTAAACGCCGACCTAAGGTTTTGTTTGCCAGTAGGGTATATTCGAGATACGTATAGTGAACAAGTGAACCGTCTGCAACAAGTGAAATAATTATTTGATTTTATCGCATGGCTTTTATAAAGTGAACAATTTATTAAAAAAATATTAATGATGGAGATGGACGTGCGCGGATTCATGAATGGTCACGATCACGGTCAATACACTATAGAAATGTGAGGTATTGCATACATAGAATTAATGGCATTAATTTGCAATAGCACCTGGAACCCACAGTTTCATTATGGAGCCAGATTAACCAATCAGAATGAGTATTACGTTATCGTAAAAGCCTGAATATTGGTTAAACGTAGGGTTACCCATGTAGGAGCCCAAAATATGCAGAAAATGTCAGTTTAGGTTAAGTATAGATTAGGCCTATATTTTTATTAATGCAAACCAACTAAACCACCCTAATCTAACCTAAACTCACTTTTCTTTTGCATATTTTGGGCTATTACCTAGGTATTTCTAGGTTTAACTAATATTCGAACTTACGGCGAAATTCGTACAAAAATAAGTAATAGTTACTGTAGATAAAATAAATTAAAATATAGTTCCACGATAATTTAATTTAGAAGCTTCTTTTCATCATACTTAATAAAAAACCGTCACAACTACAAATATACATAGGTGCCCATAATATGAGTAGCGGTATTGACGGTTTTTTGATATGATGAAAATGTTGTGTGATATGAAAAGCAATAAAATATATTATCGATTGCAGGAACTATACCTAGTTTACATTATGTCCAATTAATATAGAACATTATACCTATGCATGATATCTATGCATGAAAATTTGCTACCATTATATTTGATAGTTGAAATTATTATTTTATAATTATTATTTTTAAACAAAACAGACCCACAATAATTCAAATCTTTATGATCCAAGACTTCCAAGAATTATAAAGTAATCTCACGTCAATTTTTCACAGTTTTTTTTAATTATTGCATGCCTTAAATGTTTGCAAAGTTAACAAAAATATTTCTTGAATACCTTGCAATTGATATATTTTATATTTAATATTATCAGTTCCCCCATTAAGCCTATTTAATATTATCAGCTCTGCATCATATCCGAAATTCAGATTGTGTGACACAACGAAGAGTCAACGTGCAACGTGAAAGACAAGAAAAATGGTAAGTAAAAAACTTGTAAAGTCTTAATTACTAATTACAGAGTCCTTCCCTTGAGTTCTCCTGCCTAAAATCTATATTGCCTTTCCTAAGATTTTAAATATAAAATGATTGAAACCTGCTTATCACAATTTAAACTTAAGATAATTATTTAATTATTAAATCCATAATTATACTAAAATATAACACTTACGAAGTTTCTAAATATTAACTATTTCTACTTAATCCAGTAGCGTAACGTAGGCCCCGCAGCACCCGCAATGGGGCCTCGTTATTTTGTTTACTAAATACATATATATGTGAACAGCGTCCCCTACAATTTCCAAAAATATTGTGTTGATTTATTTTAATGTTTTATTTTTTATGTTCTTATTATTTTTCTAGTTCTAGTTATTATTTTTCTAGTCTATAATTTTTTTTTGTTTTTATATTTTAAATGACTTGATATACGTACATAAAGCTATGTTATGCTTTTTAGTGTGTTTTTTTATTTTAATATAAGGGCACCAAAAAAAATTTTGCGGGGGTCCTCACATTTGAAGTTACGCTTACTGACTTAACTATTTAATAATTTGATAAAAACACTCTTGATTATTTATTTGAAAATCATACGGGCTATAATCATTAATATGACTATATTAACAATACTTAAATCAAAATTTATTTGAAGGAATGCCATAACCATCATTACAATAAATTGTAAAACAATAAGTATGTAATAACTCAATAATTATTAAACTGCTCATCGCGTTATAGATGTCGGCGTCTTGTCTC